CACTGGTTCGAAAAAACCCTCTGTCCTGGAAAGAACCAGCAAGAAACCCAGCGGGACTCACTTTTAAAAATACTTTATGTTAACTAAATAAAAAGTACTGATCATTTATAATATTTAGATAAAGTACTTACTTAGTATTCCATTATGACTCAGAAATGATTGTTACCAAAAGACTTGAAAAGGCTTTAAAAATAATAAATAGTACCTACAACTTGCAATCAACTGTTTTATTTATGAATATGATTATGACATCGTTATTTACATTGAACAAAAGTAGCATCCAAACTAAAAGAAAGAAAAGAACCGAAATAACCGGTTCCTGGAAAGGGACCAGTTCTCGATGCCCTAGTTATATATAAAGTAGTATTTAAATTTCTTGCATAGAACGTACCCTGACAATTTTTCAGTATCAGATTAAAAAAATATCGCTCCGAAAAAATAGTTTTAACACATGGCCGTTTTAATAATTAGATATATCTATTACTTAATAGCTTTTACCGGCGCCACGTGAAACTTAAACAAAAATGGGCAAGTAGGTTAACCATCAGAAACCACTTTAAACTCCGATGTTTGTATCTTGAAAACAATGTGCAATTAAAAAATATCAAAAGCATAAATTGAAGATTTATTAATTTCTCTTATAAAGGACATTTCATCTTATCCTTTAAAACTCATAAATTTGTTGCAAGGTGTTTAAGTAAAAAAAAAATATGTTAAAAATGTTTTCTGCATTAAAACGTTATGCGATGTAAGTTACGTGTGAGGACGTTCTTCGTGTCAAAACGCAAACCAAACAAGTTGTTTGAAACTTTTTTGTATCTCATAAAGCTAATGAGAAAATCATCAAAAATATTACTATGCATCATGTATTTTCAGTATTTTGACACAAAAAATATTAAATGGATAAAATATAGCCTGGATTACTGCTGGCAGTGGTATTGACCTTCATCTGTTCCTTAAGTTTCATCGCAATTGACATTGACATTGACAGACAAAAATTAAAAAAAAATGTTTATTTAGGACTTAATAGTATGCAATTAACCCCCTGACCTTAATGGAAAGATGTTATTTCCATATTACAGACAGACACTTTAATTGTATTTATTTGTATAGATTAGGCGTTTCGCACCGTTAATCATTTTGCTACAGACCTTTTAATTGTGAACCTTCCACTGTAGAAAGCATTTGCTCTAATTACCACGCTTGGTAAGTGGATTAGCGATTAGTATCAGAGGTCTCACAATTGCGACATGGATTTTAAAGGTCTAATAAGAGAAGTAGTCTAATAAGGTCTAATAAAGATATATTTCTTAAAGGTCTCGTAAATGCGTCGTTGCTTCATACGTCATACTGCCAGTCTGTTGAGATGAGTGCCGAGGTAGGTCAGCAGCTAAATGCTCGCCCTAAATTTTATAGTACGCGAGCAACCGGAATTTAATCTTCACCGGTACTGTGTTAATTGCTATTTTAGCGCGAGCTTTACAACGTACTCGACGCTGAAGGTAAACATCTTAGGTAAATCCGCATGACTGGGAAGTAAAATGTTGTAAGGCCCATGTTCAGATGTGGATTTTTACGGGCTAGTAAAGTTGAAGAAGCAAAATAAGTTTAATGAATAAAAACATTTTCGTGGTAGAGCCATGCTGTAGTTTTATTAGTAGTATAGTTGTAGCACGAATGGGTCGGCTCGACCAGGGAAAGACCGCGCTCATAGAATACCACCATAAATAAGAGGAGCAGCTTAACGCTGATTTGTTTCTTATGGTGAGTCTAGAGAACCGGAGACCCTTTTTACTCGAAACGAGGCATTCCATCTTAGTGTTCATGGGTGACAACGTATCTGCATTTTAATTCATAATCGAGGATAGATGTAGATGTCTATGAGCCACAGCAGCCTCTTATCAGGTGGACTGTGGGCTCGTTTGTCACCCTTCTTCGAAGGTCATGAAACACGAAATCTTTAGAAACTTCATTTTATATGAATTTTAGTTTTTTCTGAAGATAATCAATTATTATCCACTCAACTTTTGCTTCTGTAATCATATCCTTCGTCTTCAGTTTATAGGGTTTCGTACTTCAGACGGAGAATCATTTGCCCTTATAGAATCACCTTGTCGTCCGTCTTTCAAGAAATTTTTTCTCAGTAATGGATCTGTTCTGGTCTGGTGGCCTGGGTATTTAGTTAAAATTAATATCAAATACTAAGGTTTACGGTTGAAAAAATTCAAACTTCTAAGTCTATCTATCTACTGCCAAGTTAAGTTTGTCTTTTCAATCCGAAGTGACTCTTTGTTAGAGCTATTTTCTGTGCTTACGTTAAAACGAAAATTACTTTAACTGCTGTAGATAGTTCATCCATCCAGGATGAATGAACTATCCACATACATAATTCAGTTTATAAGAACCCTCAGGGCGCGAGTCCTACTCGCACTTGTCAGGTTTAGTTAATATTTCGTGCCACAACTTGTGTTTTTGTCACTGTACGATCACATCCAGAAACTCCCTTTTTTAAGATCTGAATGAATTTATACATATAAAAAATATTGTCATCAATTTATTACTACAGCGCTTATGCTATCTATCATGAGTGATATTGGTGGCGCAAAAAATTTACGCAACACCCTATCTCTGTTCTTATGATAGAAGAATCACTGTAAAGTGAATTGATTTATCGTAAGCTAGGATTATTTTCCAGCATTATTTAAACACTACGATTTATTGCCCGTGTAGTGGCGGTGTAAGAATATCCACTACCCCATATCATCCCGTGGGTGTCGTAAGAGGTGACAGAGGATAACAAAGCAGAAGATGGGCAGCAGCGTCTTCCTAATAACGACTAAAAATAAAAAAACTGCAGCTGCCAACTCGCTTGCCAAGCGTGACAACTATGCTAAATATCCCCCCTATGAAACAATCTATAGGCGAGGCCCAAGTTCAGCAGTGGGCTTTAATAGAATGTAACGGTAACGGTAAGATATTGTTAAAACAATTATCTAAAATTAATGTAGTTTACTCTTGGTAAACCATATGCAAATTAATCATCGTCTTCCAAAAATTTTGATTATTCTTCATCCCTTTACAGATTCCCTTGCACCTAACGCTACCTTCGTTTCTCTTCGACATTTTTCAATGAAATTTAATTCCTCGGCTTTAATCCAAATAACTTACCAAAATGAGAGGAAACATCCTTTTATTCCTACGTCTGAGAAGATAACTTCATAATCGCATTCAAAGTAATTAAATATGTTTGTTAGACTTGAGAATAATGTTTCATAAGTATTCTCTGTTTATTCAGGTGCCCATCGTCTCTAGTAGACCACTTACCTCAGGTGGACTGTAAATTCGTTGGTCACTTTAGTTTTGTATAAAAAAAGACTTGGACGAGTGGATCTAGAACTCATTTAAGAGTACATGCTAAGTATATGCTAAAAACAGGTCTTTTTCTTCAATATAATTTTAGTAAGACTCCTTTCTTAGGCATATTATCCCTGACACAGTCCATCCAACCTTTCTTAGGCCTCCCTCTTACTTACTAGGCCGTACTCTTATATCGATCTGCTTTCATAACTAATATTCTTTTTGATTTATGTTTGAGTTTCTTCCCTTGCATAATACGGCCATACTATACGTACTGTAGCTGTACGTAAATTTAATTATACATCCCAACCGAAATGTACTGCTTCCGCGGATATACCGATATTTTATAAACGATTTAAGTCGTTAATGGCTTTATGAGTATGATTAAGTAACGTATTAATGAAAAAAATTGTCTATTACCGACCTTTGTCATAACTTTTTTATAACGCTTCCTTTGATTTTTAGCTATTTATAGATACATAATAGCATTCACTCATAGTTCACAGTAGTACAGCGTCCAACTGTAGGACTAAGAATTGTTTATGTATTGATTTAAAGAAAAAATCTTCGTAGAAACTATATAAAAACAAACAACTGTTTTATATTGTTATTTATCTCAGTAGATAAATTACTAGAAAGATAAAGCCAACCATTACCTATGTTAGTCTGTCTTTAGTTTCAAAATAACTGCCTTTTACTGAGCTGAGGGGGTTATCCTAACCATTTATTTTTAGGGTTATGTCACCTACACAGTGGCAGTGTAAGAATAAAATAAATAAATACTGCAATTGCCAACTCCTCTGCCAAGCATGGCAACTATGGCAAATAAGGTAATCTACGGGGGAGTTCTCTGATCAGCCGTGGACTTTTTGAGTTTGTAACGGTATAAGAGGTTGAAGTTGTATTGAATTAATGACTAATTGCGGGAATCATCACATTCGCATCGGAAGAGACAGTTAGCATCCCATCCGTTCTTTGCTTTACAAACATAGGTACTCGTCACAGGCAGTTCACGGCCCGTGTTACGAGTTTGGTTTTTAATTATTTAATGTTACATTAAATTTAATATATTTCATTGATGATGGTAGTAAAATAATTCTGTTATTTCCAATTTTTTTTTCTTTTAGAACTTCTTGTTAGCAGGGAATGAATAATTTGGGTTTATTTTAATTAAATCATGCGCGATGCTTATCACCCTTATTTCATATCGTTCAATTTCCTTGATTATTCCAACAGGAGCGGTGAGATAATAATTTTGTGGATTCGTGATTCGATGTAGTCACATATTGTTTTGTACCTAATAATTAAAACGGTGAAAATACAACTTTTGTTCGGGAAATAAACAAAAGACGTATAAGAAACCTGACTCAGCACTTAATTCTATTTCCGAACAGGACAACAATTTTTCACTTTATAAACAATTAGAAGAGCCAGGCCAATGATATATGTTTCAAACTGTACTTGTATTTATCTTGCTACAAACACCTTCTCGTCACGTACACACCTTTGTTAATTTAAGCGTCATACACGCAAAAGAGCGTCCTCGATGTCGTCGCGCGTCACGCGTCGTTTCAAATTTCTCGCACATGCGATAATGCTTATTTGTGACAATCGAAGGTGCTTAAAGAATTATTTGTATGCAGGGCGAAGGCGAGGGCGAGGACGAGTTGCGGCTGGACGAGGAGATGGATCGCGTGGTGTGGGGCGAAGGTGGGCCTCCGCCTCGGTTGCAAGCCTCCGGTGAACCGCTTCGGGACTCCGCCGCGCCGGTACCACATCGCCCGCCGCCGCCCTACGCACAACACACCACGCAAGGTACAAGCATGCAATATTCAAAGCAAGTGAGGCGTGCTGACGACTCGGTGGCGCCATTCTAGTAAACTGAAACACATTTTTTTTGCAATGTGGGATTGTTATTTGGACCCATAAAATTGTTGGTAATTTATCTTTGTTGTGTTTTTTTTTATATTTGACATGACATCAAATTTATTGATTTTTAAATTATTGTCTTATGTAATATGTCCAAGTAACAAAACAATATTGCATAAAAATGTTTTGTTTAATTATAACCGCCTTAAAATATTTATTATTTCTTATTATCCATTAACTGTGAAAATACCTTTTCTGTTTATATTTCTAAAAAAAAATATATTTTTTAGATGGTGGAAGTCTATCTAGTACATCAGAAGTATCACCATTGAGCGCACCACATTTAAGCTTAGGATCAGACCCACAGGTCAGTATAATGTCTAAGATAATATGACTTCAAACATATGCATGATTTTTTTTTTATTGAGATATAGTTTAGCTTTTTTGTCATAATTTATTTATTAAGAGAGGATAAAATGCAACATAAACAAATTGAAAATTACTGTTGTTGAATAAAATCATTCAATTGTTTCACTTTTATAATTCAAGTTATTATTTATTCGATAAATAACTGTTGTGAGTATAGAAAAATCAGCCCTTAAACGTAATAAGGCCAATTAGTTTTAATGACGTTTTAAAAATCATTTTGCATTTATGTTGATTTAATGGTCTTAAGTTTTTTTTTTAAATAAAATCGTATTCAACTGCAACCATTTAATGAATAAAATACTTGAGGTTAGTATACAATGTCGTCTTCAATAAAAGTAATGTTTATCCCTCTAGCTTGTGCCGTCTCTTTTAAGAATTCACTCTCGTATGTTCTCGCCCGACAAATGCTTCTGGAATCCTCAACCAATATCTGATGCTGACCCCACAAATATTTAAATTAAAGCTACAAATTCTGAGCCGACCGCAGTAACAAATTAATCTCGCCTTCGGTTATTCATTTGGATAAAACCACAGGGTATGGTGTCGATCATTAAAATGCCTCTTGATGCATGTATATACCTGTATAATGATCTTCATCTGGACTAGTTTGCTGACCAAATGGAATATGGAACCTGACAACATGTTTAACGTAAATCTGTGCAAATGCCGTGCGTTGAGTACTGGTCGTTCAATTTTGCGACATTAAATTATTTCACTCCTCTCCTCGAATGCTTTGATCCCCCCTCCCCACATTTATTTTACACAGCTAACTTTCAATGCGTGTATGCTATACTATTCTGCTTTATTATATTGCCTATTGTGTTTTATTTAGTATATCATAGTAATTCTTAATAGCGTGAACGTAGCTATAAAAAATAAACGCGGAGCGATTTTGTTGTGCTATGTAATATTTGCTATATTTTATACAGGGTTAATTTGCAATAACCGGCCAAATCTGCAAAAAAGGTTCAAAATAAGTAATATAGGCATATGGTAAAGAAATATTAATTAAAAAAAACTCATTCTGTCCTTTTTATCTTATAAATTCAAAATGCATGGTAATGCATTATTTTAACTGATTTTACTGCGTACGCACACATTCATAAGGGTCGATCAAAAACGTTGTTTCCCATAAATCACATTAAATTTAAAATAAAAGTAGAAGCCTTATTTAATTTTCAAAAACTTCAATAACGGTATATCATTATTCATATATTTGCTATTAAGTTTAAAATTTGGCTGTTTGAAAAATAGTCCTGTATATTATAGCGTAGTCTGAATGGAGCTTGTCTTCGGGAGTATTGTTAGCTTTCTCTCTGTTCTATTAAACTAATTTACCAGTATTCTTGGCATGTATTAACTAGTAAAGTAGTGTAGCTGGCAACACTTTCCATCTTCTGCTATCGGTTCCAAGCTCTTCACAATCCTGGTGGCTGCCTCTGCGTCCAGTTCTTGTCTTATACACGGTTTAAAAAAAGTATTTACAACTCCTTCGAGTGTGAGAGACGAAACATTGTTTAACAATTATAAATTCATCGACTTTTATTTTCTATTAGAAGTTTAATTTTAGAACTCTAGACTGCTTCTGCTTACTTTCTTCGATGCCCATCGCATCGAAATTCGATGAATTTTTTCTCCAAATGTATATACGGACTACCCCTGAAGTATATAACTTATTTAAAAAAATGAATGTTTAAAATCGGTTTAAAACTGACGAAGATATTGCGTCACCTACATACATACAAAAGGAGTTAGAACACACGGCTACCTTGAAATTATTTTAAAATATATTTTTAAAGTGCATCTAAACAGGTGGCCCTTATTTCGTTTTGAGTTGCTTTATGAAGTTGTCATTATTGCTTTAACGTTTAAATATGAAATAATATAATATTTAGGGATAATGGCTAAGGCGAGGATTTACTACTTTAAAAGGCTATTAATGCTCCCTTCTACACTGCATGCATATTTGTCCGGCACGAAGAAAGCGTGCGACATTCGGTGGACAAAAAGTTACTTTATGTGCAACATTTTGCTTATCATCAAGAAGTAAAGGATCTAAATAAAAATGTAGCTATCAAATCTACATCTATTCTCGATTAAGAATCAAAATGCAGCTATTAGTTGTCACCACTGAGGACCAAGATGGAATGCCTCGTTACCAGTAAAGTCTCCGGTCTCCTACATTCGTGCTACAACTATATTATAGCTGCACCAAGGCTCTCTCTATATAGACTAATGTGAAGAAGTGGAACTGTTGTTCTAACTAACCGATAACAGTCCACTACTGTACTTGAGCCTCTTTTCCCATATAAGAGAAATTTACTATAATTACAATATGCAAGCTGATTAGTAATCGAAGTAACAAATATCACGTGCCTGATGATTCTTCACGTCCCACGTAATTTGTACTGTCCATTACGGTGGTGGACGAACTTAAGATCTTCCTGTTATATTTCATAGTCAGTTATGGATTCTCTTACGCTATATTTATACAGCCATGTGTTATTACCAGGAGAAAGATTTATTTAAGGGATTTAACCTTATCGTGGGATAATCGGCAGTCGGTTCTTCTTTCTAAAAAACACTTTAGTTTGCTTTTTGAAATAGATATGTACACCCATGATACATCCATATTTATCTGTCTTATTGTCTATTATTACTTTCTTTGATTTGACATTCTTAAATAAACTGCCGTATCGCAACAAGTTACCAAATATAGTTATTCTGTTTTCTTATTAGTTTCAGTAGCAATTTATTATTCTTTCGTTTTAGCTTTAAGGGTAATGGAATTATCTAATTGCGAATTATTTAATTGATAGGGAATAAAAATATAAACAAGTTTCTTGTCGAATTTCATCAATTTTATTAAATTATTTAGGCAACAAGACTATAAAAAATAATACCATGTGTGTGATTAATACATTCGCTTTCACCTGTGGCTGTCGCAATACAATTCGGATAAATATTTAAATACTGTTCTATACAACGACTGACTGTCGCCACCCTCTTCGCCCAACCATTACGAATGCGGTAAGTTGTTTCAAGAGATAGCTCGCAGCTCCGAATGTAGTTATTCTCAATTACCTTTTAAATGTAATCTATTAGTTTAATAGCGTTGTATAAGCGAACGGTGTTTTTACAGACACTCAATGCCTTTGTGTTGACCGTGAAACGTAACTTATTCACGGCAGCTTTTTCGTAAGTCCTCGTTCTGCATTTTATTTATGCACCAATTCGATCGGTGTAGTCGACGGAGCGCATCGTAATCTCATTGTTGGCGTGCGCTAATGAACGTTGCCTTATGTCAGGAGCTATTTTTTTTTTTTTTATAGGATAAGGGTGACAAACGAGCACACAGTCCACCTGATGGTAAGTGGTTGCTGCGGTCCATAGACATCTACATCTATCCTCGTTTGCGAATCAAAATGCAGATGCGTTGTCACCCGTGAGGACTAAGATGGAATGCCTCATTTCCAGTAAAAAGGGCCTAGGGCTACCCTGTGCCATGGGACGATGGCAATTTGTTGTTACAGTTATAGTCAAAGAAGTTGCCGATTGACAGCGCTCGTGCTTTCTACATAATTTCTAATGCGATCATGCGATGGCCTACGATCGATACACAAACGAACATTGTTTTCAAGGATTTTAGCATTTCTTTTAGTCAGCAGTTGACCGAACGACATGTCATGAAGATACTGTTTCTTAATAAAAAAAATATTGATATAAATTTTCAACCAAAAACATCACTGTTATTCATTTTTAATTTCTTGTTCTTACCGTACCTGCACAGATGTCAGGAGGGTGGTCGGGATCGGGATCGGCGGGAAGTCCCCGGGACACTGAAGATCGGCATGTACAGTTCGACAGTGAACGACTCGATCCTAGCGACGATCAACTCGACGAGGCTAACAACGAGCGACGGAAACAGAGAAATGCGTGAGCCAAGTTTTTGTCTATACCCTGCTTATATCAGTATGTGTGGGATATTATGTATGAGCTAAAATATTTAGCTAGACGAGGATTATTTTACTGCATTACGTTTTTAATAAAAAAGTCTAGAAATCATTATGCGTAGATGATCTGCAACATTCTTTATATTTTTAAGAATGCAGTATCTAACAGTTTTAAAATATGTAAAAATGATGAAATTAATTAATTAAACGATATTTTTTATATATTATTATCAGTTATAGCATTACTGTTTATTGTAAAAGGACATTTGGCAATATAAATATTTCATATAATATATTATTCGCCACCATTTCACAAATAAGACGACACTTGTTGTGTCCTATGTATGAGTAGGTACCTAACGCTTCAGGGCAAAGACCTTATCCTGAATCATGTCAGAGTATCAGACACACAACGAAATGTACGGATAACGGTTCGATTGTGTATGTATGTACATATGTCCGCCCCACGATTATGAATTTTCTATTGTATTGAATTCATAACTCATTCGAGAGACTTTGTATTACAAAACATAGTCCATTTACTTGATTTTAGCCGACGATACGAGAACTTGTCAAAAATGTGTGCTAATAAGAGATAACTACGACTAATCAGAACGTTATGTTGATAATTATTACGAAAATAATTACAATTTTCTTTGTACACTAGTAAACCACAACCCTGTATTAAGAACGAGGTTATTTGAACACTTTTGAGCATGTAATGTGTATGATGTGTGTTAGAAGCACAAACATAATTGAATAATAAGTATATAGCTGAGATGTATTTAGAAAACTTGGCGTGTTAATCAATGTTCTGCGGGAGATAGCTCGAGAGATAACAGATCGCCGTGCGGAAGCGTCACCTGAGTCCGCGCTGTCGTCAAAAATAGTATGATCGCGCGACATTGCCGCGGTCACGAGCTTCCCGTGTAATTGCTGCTGACTGACGACAAGCGACTTCACAATTCCCGTATGCCATCTGGAAACACTTGCCAGCTTGTCTTTATCGGCTGTCTGTGTTCAGAATTTCTCCTTATACATACATACATGCATATTTATTTTGTTAAATCTTCTAGTTTCATTTTTTTTATAAATTCTTGTATACAGGCAATAAAACCCTATCAGCAATTTTAAATCGAGCGAATGGGTTACAAATGTATAAAACATTCGGGTAAACATCAATGAGGTTAATGGAATAATTTGTCCAGTCTTTGTTATTCTCAGTGCGAAATCCTAGCGAGGATATCAAATTGTTTAACATTCGCTATGCCAAATGCCGTCACTAAAACGCTTTGAGGTAACTATTTTTATTTGAGGTACTAATTGCTCTGCAAAACTAATATGAGCAGCTTAATTTTATTAAAAAAAAAGTATAATTTACGTGAATGTAAAACTTGAATAGTTCCATTGTATTATTTTTACGAACTGAGTAGTATATAAATGCCAGTTCGGACGTGTTATATTTATTTTACTTAGGAATTATACGTTTGTACTTTGCAATAACCAGACGATTGTGACACCTGAATTTTATGGCACAACATAGAATGAAAACCTCAAACTTTAAAGTTGAATTAACTTAGATAATTTGTGATTATTAAGACTCCAAAAAAAGACTATGCCAGTGAAATCAGTCAAAGGGTAAAACGGAGACCTATTAATGTCACTTTGTTGTCTGTCTTTCCATCCATCCATATGTTACGGACTCTAGTAGACGGAATGAGAGAAATTTGGTGTCGAATGTTGACCTAAAGGCGGATAAAAGGAGCCGATAATGATATTTTTTCCTGGGTTGTCATTGTCTATTCTAATAATTACGGACTGAATATATATATTGCTAAATATATAATATACAATTAAAAATAAGTAAATAAATAACAATTATTAAATTAATAATAATTTGTCATGTTTTGGTGGATTAACAACATCCATCACACAATTTTGCCCTGTGAGGTCGTAAGGGCGACTATGAGATATTACGTCATACCACTACATATTATTTATTCTGTGGTCATACGTAAAATGCCCCAGACGAGCGACTTTATAGCTCGCGGCGAGTCCGATGAAGCTGTAAAAGCTAAAAAGGCTGACAGCACTAACATCACAGAAATTAGGAGGAGAGACGAGCGGCGAGGAACATCCTTACTGCACATGTGATCGCAACCCACCTGCTAACCATGGCGATTAAGCTAAATCTTCCCTATAACTGAAAAACTCATGGAAGTGGATTTTTACATACTGTAGTAAAAATATCAAAACGAAAAAAAGTTGTATTATTCGCCTAAAAGTGTAATCATTATCTTATGTTGTAGTTATCTAACATGTCACGTAGACTTAACAACAGAGAGACTATAGCATTTATAAGAGTCACTTACTGCCCAATTTAGACATGCTCTCGAAAATGTGCTTCTATCTTCACAAGCAGTACGGTGCCGTTCCTTTGTTTTTTAATAATACTGTACACCTATAACGTTGTCAGTCTTATTTCAAAAGGCTTTTATCAAAAAAAAAACATGCGTGAGTGTGGTGGAACACTCGGTTGAAACGAAGTTCCTTTCGTAGTATATTATTATTGATAAACGTATTATAAATTGATTACTAGCGTCTATTAAAATGAAGCGTCATTTAAATTAAAATTCTTATTTATTTTATGGCAAGATAAGAAAAAGTACGAGGGGGACGGATATTATTCCATCTCGCTTCCTTATAGTCGCCAAGGCCGTCTACACTGGGTCAAAAGGGGTTGTGACGGAAAAATCTTACACTTTTTGTGGCCTAACCCCATCCGCCAAATCCATACCGTCCGATAAGGAACTTCATTCATGCGAACTTAAATTATATTTGATAGCAAAATGTCAAATTTAGAAGACTGTTGTGGAGCCGCAGTTAAGTGACTACTTTAGTCAGGACTTAGGGGGACTATTCTTAGAATATAGTTTAAACCCGAAGTTATCTCTTCTATAATATAAAATCGCTGAATGTGTTGCTAAGCGCAAATCTCGAGAGCAGCTGAAACGATTTCGCTAATTCTTTTTTTCTAATATTGCTTGAAGTACGAAAATGGTTCTTACGGAGGGAAAATTTTAAAAAAATGCCTGAAAAAGTCTAAATACAACACTTTTCTATATTCCCATACAAAAGATTCGTAATAATACTTAAAAGTCAATTTGAACTTTAATACCATACCATAAAGTTTAAGTGTTAGTGGAGGGGTTCCGGGAAGGCAAAACAATTGAGTGACGTTAGTATCGTATAAATATTATATCGTATCGTATCGTATAAATATTTGTCAATATTTATGCGATGGAAACTTAATTTAAAATAAGTAGAAATTAAATTAAAGCATCACAATAAGAAATCAGAAATTGTAATTTTCATTGTGATTTTTTAGTGACTATTAAAAGAATTTTAAGTGTTTTATAATTTTTATTTTTTAACATAATGTAATTGTTGACTTATCAACTTTCTTTTTTTATCTTACTGGCTGACCCGGTGTCACGAATAGCAGAACAAGTATTAAAAAAAATTAAAGAATCGACTGTTAGGCGTTACGAAGTGCGCCAGGTCAACTAGTCAATAAATAAACCACGTTTTGTAAAGACACAGTGTCGGCACATGAGTAAAGAAAGTCGGTGTAAATTCTGTTAAAATTTGACATTTGCTGTCAAATTCCATAGGTACTTCAGATTTTAGTTCGGACATTTTTCTCAGGACTTCTTTATTGAAGCAGACCTAATTATAAAGTAATTTTTTAAATGAAACCTTAACTGTTTACCGAAAGTAATCGAAATACACTAAGATTTTCTATTATCTGATAACATAAATAGAAATTATAAATAAATAGTTGATTAAAAGTTACGAAACCTAACACAAAGCGATTACTTTCAATAAGTTAGAAAATACAAAATAAACATTATAATACCTATATTGAAATGTTGAAAGTGATTTATTTTATTTATATCTAAAATCAAATAATATTTTATATTCCGAATAACAGACAACATTTCCGTTCATGTCCGATAAGTAAAGCCTGTTTCAAGGACTTTTGAAGTCTGACCTCATTTGTTTGAGCAGCACGCCGGACTCTCCTTTCTTAAAAACATTCCTCTCTCAATAATAGGAGAAAGAATAATCTGATCATTGGAAACTGTCATTGCCAAACACCCGTAGCTACCTACTAATTCTGGTTATCGCGTCAAATCATTGCAAATTGGGGTAGGTCTACATCTTGGTGTGAGTTATTTACGAGTTAATAGCGATGGCAATAAATTTATAAAGGGTTTTTTTTTAATCTAATATTTTGAAAAAAGTGAAGGTTAATTCGAATGCACCTATCCTGTGCAAATATTATGATATAAGCCTGTGATGGGCATAAGGTAGCTCAGGGTGCTAGGTGCTAAATTTCCTATAACACACATGGGTAAATGACCCTTGTGATTGATCTTTATATTAATGAATTACAAATTAATATAAAACAAAAGGAACGTTTATTGAATGATGACTTAACATATATTTAACATATTAATATTATATTCGAATTCGAGTTTTGACGGTGATAATTAGTGAATTAATCGTGTAAAATTTGATTAACAATAAACTTGTATACGTTTTCTATCAAAAAATTGCCGCGCCAGCAAAATAACAAAATAATATAGGACAAAACACTAAATACGGTAACTAAATATTGGTTGTTATAGGTTGTATGTAGGTTGGTTGTATAGGTTATAATAAAAAAATAGATATGAAGGCACATTGAGGCACAGCTATCATTAGTCAAACTGAAAGTAATAGTATAAGCTTTGACTGATGTCTAATATTCCCAAAATTATATTTTAAATTTGTTTTTATGGGTCTTATAATGGCGACAATTTGCTAAACAGCCTATTAATAATTGTGCAAATGGATCACCAGTTTCCTTGCTGATCGGAGCATCAAGGTCGTAGTAGACGGTGCATGCTCTGATTTCAAGCCTATCAACGCAGGTGT